CCCAGCTGGTGTTTGTCCAAGCCGGCTGCCTGTTTGCCCTGGGATGTAATTTTAGCCAAGGTGCGCAGTTGTTTTGTCCTCCTCACGCTGCGGTTGGTGCATCTGGCCGGAGCCGGGCGCGAGGGCGGCAGCGCGGGAGCGGGATGGACAGCAATGACAGAGGTGCTGCTGCTCCGGGGCCACTGCTGGGCAAGCGGAGCCTGCAAAATCCGGGGAAATCCCTTTCTGCCGGTGCCATTGCTGCCCTGTTCTGGGTGCAAAAAACTCCCTCCATCGGTTAATACAGAGGTGCCCGGTCCAGCTGAGGAGCCCAGTGCAGCCCAAAGTACTTTGTGCCCTGCTCGCTGCTTCTGCCTTCAGTCTCCCTCACCTGCGCCCTCCCTGCCCAGCAGTTCCGCACCGTTTCCTCTTTAGATATTGCTTAATGCTGAAATTTAAAGCTTGTGAGTCCTGAGCAGTCATGAAACTTCAGCGTATTTTCAAGAAAATTAGTTCGAATACTGGTGTAAAACATGTCTCTTAGTGCAGTGCGTGTCATGCAAGCTGCTTTTTACACCAGATGTGAGTAGAAAGCAAGGGTTTTCTGCATTTCCTGGGCAAGCGTGAAGGTCTAGTGAGAGCTCTCTGTTTTCAATATTCTAAATTCAAGATAAAAAATATTTTTTGAGAGGTTCAAAGCTGCTTATTTTTTATTTGGCGCAGCTTGTTTACAGCTTGTTTATGACCCTGAGCTTTTATATTTGGCACTGTTTACCTCCATGCTGGCCCTGCGTGTGTTTTTATGCACGCATAAATAAAATATCATCACAAACAGTTTGTCCTGCAGCTCCGCTCATCCAGCAAGTTTCCGCCGTCCAGCTGTGAAATGTGGCAGTTGCTGTTTTGACACAGCTATGCAAATGCCTTTCGCTGTGCCAGCGTCCTGTATCAGTCGGGTAATGTTTTCAAGCAAAGCAGCATGAAACATTTATTTATTTCATTTAATTACCTCTCATGTACAGCATGATTAAAAAAAAACCCTGCCAGGCACTTTTTGCAGGTGCTGCTGAGCTTCCCGATGGTGCTTCCACCCCAAGCCATTCATGGGGATATTGAGAGCGGGAATGGGCACAACCTATATTTTTCCCCCCAAGATTCAGAAGTTTGGGTTCTCAGGCTTGCCCCGTCCAATACATTGCTTAGTTTGGGGCCCCTCACTACAAGAAAGACATGGAGGTGCTGGAGGAGCCTGAACAGGAGATTGTAGTGAGGCGAGCATTGGCCTCTTCTCCAGAATAACTACCTGTAGGGCAAGAGGAAATGGCCTCAAGCTGTGTCAGGGGAGGTTGAGGTTAGATAATAGAAAAAAAAATCTCTACCCAGAAGGAATAGTCAAGCATTGGAACAGGCTGCCGAAGGAAGTGCTGTAGTGACTGTCCCTGACAGTGTTCAAGAAACGTGTAGGTGAGGCACTTAGGGACATGGTTTAGCAGGAAGTGATGGTGGCGATGGGTTTATGGCTGGACTCGATGATCTTAAAAGTCTTTTCCAACCATAATGATTCTAGGATTCTATAACTGCACGTTGAGCAGTGCTGCATGACCCCGCTGCGCTGGGACTTGCTCACCAACTCCAGTGCCTCGAGGCTGTCACCGTTTTGCTGTGGTAAGGGGTGACAGTGGGTTGCCCACAGTGGGAGACTTCGGGTCCCGAGGTGGTGGGCCAGTGGAGGCTTCAGGGAGCTTGGGGAGCCGATGGCCTAGGCCCCGCTGTGCGCCCGCTCCGGGCCACGTCAGCGCCTGCGGGAGACGGTTTCACTTCCCTTTCTCAGGGCGCTTGGGGCCACGCGTGTTCAGCTCCGATTGGGCCAGCGCAGGGTAAATTTAGCCTGGGGACGCCCCAGCACAGAGGCCCAGCTGCGCAGGGCCCAGCTGGGAAGGGCTGGGCTTCGTTTTTCACTGTTTCAATGTGGTTCTCAATCAGGGAAACACTGCCCAGTGTGTTCCTGGAAGTCACGGGCCCAGAAATGGCCTTTGCTCCCTCCTACCCCTGCTGCAGCCTTAGCGCGGCCGTTGAGGCGCCCTACATGGCGGCAGACCCAGCTCCCCTTGCTGGCACTGCGGGGGCGATGCGGAGGGTGAGGCCAGGGCGGCAGCCCCACGCTGGGCTGAGGCCGGGAGCAAGGCCGGTGCTGGCAGCAGTGCAGACCTGCTCCTGCCAGGGAGCCAGGGACACAGAGCCAGAGCAGCTCTGGACAGTGCAGGGCCAACACCTTCCCTCTGCACCCCCAAAGCAAATGTGGGGCCTTGTCCCTGCAGGGACAAGGTGAGACAGTGCCAGGTCTCTGCGCTGCCAGACCTGGCTTCTCCACGTGCCCAGTCTCAGGGTCTGAGGACTCCAGTACCAACCTCCCTGTGGCCCTAATCTCTCCACTGCACAAATATCCTCACAGCACCAAGCTTCCCATTATACCAAGCTCCTCATGGCACGGGTTCCCTGTAGCACCCAGCTCCCCACATGACCAGGCTTGCCATTGCACTGGGATCCCCCCAGTGCTGATGAGTTCCCTATGGCACTGAGCTCCCCACTGCACTGAGCTCTCCGCAGCACTGGGATCCCCACTCTGCCTAGTGCCTGACAGCAGCGGGCTGCCCATGGCCCAGGTCTCCCATTGCACTTGCCTCCTGTGGCCCTGGGATCCTCTCTGCACCAAGGTGCTGGGGAAGGCAGGGGGCTGCACGCTGTGGACTTGTACTGCAGAGGGTCTGCGATGGCAGCGGAGCCACGCCCCACTCCTGCCCTCCAGGGCTGGCAAGTGCTGATCGCATTTGGCTGTGACCTGGTGGCCACCATATTTCTGCAGTCCCTGCTGTGAGTACAGGAGTCCTGCTGGGGCAGGGCAGCATGGAGGCTGAACCTGGACACTTTGGGGTGAAAGTGCGGCTTTTGCATGACCTTTCCCAAAGCCTGTGGAGGAGGCAGCTCTCTGGACACGGGTATACAGGGACTGGATCATGCCTGGAGTTGGGCTACATCCTACTGAGCCTCTGGCATTGCTCTAGCTCCCTGCCTGAGCCCAGGGGCCACAAGCAGCCCCCTGGAGCAGCCCAGCCGCCAACCCTGCTCTGGAGCGGGGCATCCCCTGTCCGGCTCCCTGCGTTCCCGCAGCCCTGGCTCCCGCCCGCTCGTCTGTGGGGCTATTCTTAGCACCCAGCTCTTGCTTTCGAGTTTCAGCCCCGCTGCGTGCAGGAAGCGCAGCTATTTGTGCGCCTCGCAGCTGCGCCCGCGGGCTGCCGGAAACCCCCTGCTCTGGCTGTGCCACGTCGCCTTGTGCTCTTCTGCTTGCACCGAGAAGCAAAACTTGAAAGGTTTCACCAGCCTCCGCAGAGCCTGCCCCGCTTTGGCTGGGCATACGTGGCTGCCGCTGCGAGTGTCCCTGTCACCACTGTGGGACCTGGCCCGTGGGGGTCACCTCTAAGGCAGAGACTGCCTGGATGAGCCTTGCACAGGCATGAGTGACTGCTCTGCAACGAGGGCTGGGATGGGCTTTGGTGTCACCACTGCAAAGGTGCCCATGTCCCCAAGCCTCAGTGTCCCACACTTGCTCCCTTCTTCCCCACGGCTCCGGGACATCATCTGCAGCCAGTTCCAGCCCTGGAGGGTGCTCCCTGCTCCAGAGATGCCCTGAAATTAATCTGAAATTAATGGCAAAATGGGGAAAAAAAATGACTGTTTAATATTGCACCAGAGGACACTGCAGAGAGAGCGAGAGCTGCAGCTGGGAGAACACTCTTGAGGTTTTGCTGTTACTCAGAAGATTCAGTAATTGGAACATGCCTCTAAGACTGATGACAAGGACAATGGTTTTACTCGCTCACAGGGGCACGGCGGCAGCATTCGGGGTGGTGAGGGCAGCGCGGTCCCTGCGGTGCTGAGGCTCAGTGCAGGAGCCTGGTGCTGTGAGTGCGGGAGCTCGTCTCATGGTGGGGAATTGCCTGGCCCGGCAACATGCAGCTACAAAGCACCGCTCACAGCATGACTTCCAGAGGCAGCTTTCAAGTTTTGCTTAAAAGACTCATTATAGGTAAAAATGAATGTGGCTGCAAGGCCTGAATCTCCCCCTCATTGTTGAAGGCCAGGGAATACATATCCTGGAGGAAATGGGGCCACTGATGTATAATTCAGCAGCTGCTCCTTGCCGGATTGCCGCTTATGGAGCTAGTTTAGCAGAATCTTTTAATCAATAATTAGTGAGGCTTCCTCCTCCTCAAGGAAGCTGGGATCCTGGGCACCGCTCGCCTAAACTGTGTCAAGGCTGTGAAGCTGCAGCGACTCACGCCGCTGCAAAGGCGCAGGCTGAGAGAGCGGGGCACCCCCAAACGGGTCACGGGGCGTCCCAGGGAGCGCTGACAGCATGAGCCCGGCTTGCACAGCGCTTTCCAGCTCATGTGAGGGATGTCCAGGCCTTGTACCGGGCTGGCCTGGGCAGCCATCCTCATCCCCACTCCAAGACACGGCTCTGATGGGGGACGAAGAAGTGGTGCTGCCCGACACGGAGTTTTCCGTATTGTACATTGATTTATTTCAGTCCAAATTGCTACCTAAGGAGGCGTGTTGCCAAATGCTGTCATCAATAATTACGGAGGCTTCAGCACACTGAGCCAGCAGGGAACAAGAACAACCTCCACTTTTAAACGTGATCCGAGTGGTGCAGTTACTCTTCTCCGTGGCAGAGGAGCTCTGCTCCAGCAAAATCACATCAGCAGAGCTGGGAGCTTATTCAGGCTCTGTATTTCCTCCCATTTCTGTCCAGGTCTAAGGCTTAGGGACTGGGCCCTGAGCAAGGAATAATTTCCTTATGAAGAAGCAAAGAGCCTCTCTGAGGAACCTAAGCCCAAGTCTCTGAAAGAGGTCGGGAGTGTCAGGACTGGGGTCCATGTCCTGGCAAAGTAAAGTAAAAGTAAAGACCCAATAACCAAGAAAATACCCTGAAATGGTCCTGGGCACACGCCAGAGTCCTCCAAGTCCTCCGAGGACAACATAATACATACATATATGAGTTACTTTTATATAATAATTCCACATTATATACTGTTGTTCATAATACGTACAATATACAGCTTGTAATTTCTATAAGTCAAGATTTATTTGGTTGTTTTTTATGTCTACATATACAAATATATGCCTGCAACCAAACACACCATGTGGTCTAATTATTCCAGTATGGGCTGTCTGATTCTATAACACGACCCCTGTTCTTTCTTCCTTTCTTCTTCCTGTTCTGTTTTCTCTTGTCTCCAGACTTCAACCCTAGCCAGGCCTGTTTCCTGAGCTGTTCTGCTTTTAGGTACCAGCAGATCTAGCTCTTCAAATGCACAGCTAAAAGTATCAGGAGCAAAACTCATAAAGGACAAAGGCAAAGACATTGAAGAAGAAAGATCATTTTCATCACCTTTTCCTCAGATATAGCAAAATTTTCAACCTCCCTGAACACAGAATAAGAAAACTCAAAACATTCTCTCTGCCCCCACTGAAGAGCTCTGTCCAAGAGCACCGGGACAGGTCCTTCTGCTCTCCAAGGAGGTGAGCCTTTCACCCTATGGCCAAGAGCACTCTCTGTCCTTCAGCTGACCTCTGGCAACTGCTGTGACCCTTCCTGAGGAGCTTGGCTTGGAGTTGGAGGGAGAAAATATCTGGTCCTCGTTAAGGACGATAGACCTGCTCTTCATGTCTAAGGCTTAGGGATTTGGACCTGCACAGAGAATCATTTCCTTATGAAGAATCAGAGAGCCTGACTGAGGAACCTAAACCCAAGTCTTTAAAAGAGGCTGCTACAGCCAGGAGTGGGTTCTGCACCCTGGGCAAAAGTAAAGACCCGATGATTGAGAAGATACCCTGAGGTGGTCCTGGGCATACGCCAGAGTCCTCCAAGTCCTCCGAGATGGGACAAAGTCCTCAATTCTGCTCTTAGTGCCTCTTCTGACACCGACAGCAGAGCCCAGCCCATCATCCAACCCACAAAGAAGTTCCCAAATTACCGAAAATTGATCTCAGAAATGCAGCTATTTCGCGGTAGGGAAGGAAAGATTGTGAGGAGTTGAGCGACTTACCCAGGACGGTCAGCCGGGTCCCTCCGCTGAAAACAGGAGTACCAGTACTACCACCAGCACTAGCACCACCACCAGCAGCATTATCAGCATAATGGGTATCTTCAAAAACTCACAGCCTAGTTGCTGCAGTAGTGCCCAAGCTCTGGACCTCCAGAGATGTGGTGGGATGGACACAACGGGACATATCTGTGATGGACATGTCATGGGGGGGGATGCCTTGAGAGATGCTGTGGAATGAAAGGTTCCCTGGTCATCACCTTTTCCTCAGATATAGCAATATATTCAAACACCCTTAATGTAAAAAAAAAAAAAAAGATACCCAAAAACCCCAAACACTCTCTAGGCTCCCACTGATGAGCTCTGTCCAAGAGCACCAGGACAGGTCCTTCTGTTCTCCCTATGGCCTAGAGCATTCTTTGTCCTTCAGCTGACCTCTGGCAACTGCCACGGCCCTTTCTGAGGAGCTTGGCTTGGAGTTGGAGGGAGAAAATGTCTGGTCCTTGTTAAGGACGACAGCCCTCCTCATCAGGTCTAAGACTTAGGGTTTTGGACCTGCACAAGGACTCATTTCCTCAGAAAGAATCAGAGAGCCTGACTGAGGAACCTAAGCCCAAGTCTCTGAAAGAGGTCACAAGTGTCAGGACTGAGGTTGATGTCCTGGACAAAAGTAAAAACTCAATAACTGAGAAGATACCCTGAAGTGGTCCTGGGCACACGCCGGAGTCCTCCAAGTCCCCCGAGATGGGACAAGGTCCTGAATGCTGTGCTTAGTGCCTGTCCCCACACCAACAGCAGCACCCAGCCCAACACTGAGCCCACAAAGAAGTCACCAAATTACCGAAAATCGATCTCAGAAATGCCCTATTTCACAGTGGGGAAGGAAAGATTGTGAGGAGTTGAGCGACTTACCCAGGACGTTCAGCTGGGTCCCCGCGCCAAATCCATCAGCAGCAGTACTACTACCAGCACTAGCAGCAGCACCAGCAGTATTATCAGTGCAATGAGTTTCTTCAAAAACCTCCAACCC